GTGAAACAAAGTTTTGCTTTTCATTAGCATTTTGTGTCCAAAGTTTTAACCCCATATGTGTCCCAAGTACCACTTTCCTAGCAGCTCAGAGATGGCATCTATTGGCACTGTGCCTAAAACCACGCTGCCTTCCAGCAGGCAGAATCAGAAGCTGGCTGCTTTGGAATCAAGATGGTCTCGTTGATAGACATTAAGCATACAGAATAAAACAAAATTGTCATGAATCAGGCCACATGAGTATACCATGCATGGCAATGCTATCTTGGGCTAAGTAGAAATCTATGTTTTCTCTATCTAAGAAAATATAATGTGTGAAATACACAAGGGTTAGGAAGACTGGGGGCGAAACAGCTCTTCCGGGTAAGTTAGTTCCCATTAGCACGCCTGGGGCTGACTGCAAAGGTTCCTTGTGAAAAGTTAAGCAGCCCCTGGAGTATGTTTTGCAGCTTCCCACGCTGCCCTTAGCCGTGCCCTGTCCGGCTCCCCAGCCCCTTGGCGACGGTGGTTCCTCTCACTGCACATGGAATAAGGGCTTTTCACCACCTCTGTGCCTTCAGCAGCTCTGCTACAGAATGTTCCAAGGAAGAAGCCCTGCTTCTTCAAGTCAGACATGGAGGGTCTTTTCTGTTCCTGTACTTAGCAAGACAAACATTGGTTTGTTGTTGAAACAGCAATCGGTTAGGGAACATATGTTTCAGTGGAGCTTGATGGCTTAGAAACCAGGCCAAATTGAGAAACCAGTTGGAAAACCTCAACCCAGATGTTTTCAATAAGCTCTTTGTTCCCCTCAATGCATTGGAGGTGCTGTTGTTTGAGCCCTGATCAGCCACCAGTCACGGTAGACACGTTTCAGCGGGGCCTCGAAGTCAGGAGACTGGCCCTGCGTCCTCCCCGACCTTGAAGAGTGCCGGGTCTCCTTGGTTTTCTCATCCCTACAACGGCAGTGTTTTTATCTGCTTCTCCCTTGCCTCATGGAAACAACAGTATTTATTGTTTTTCTGACTTACTGGGAGGACAAAGGGGAAAGGGATGTTGAACATGTACTAGGCACACAGATTATCTCATTGACTATCCATGGCAACCTGTTTGTTGGTTATCATTGTTTTCACTTTAGAAACAGAGAGCAGGCTTGGTTAAGTAGTTGACCGAGTCACGTGGTGCCCAAGCCCGAGGGCATTTGAACCCAGGTTATCTGACTCCATTACACCGTAGAGTTCTACGTGGAGTCATGAGAAAAATGACAGGTTTGGTTTTATTTCCTTTCATTTTGTAGCGGCATTTATAAAAATCACTATTCGAAACCCCTCTAGCACTTAAATTTTTTTTTTATTTTTAATTACGATAAAATACATATAACATAAAATGTAACATCTTAACCATTTTTCAGTATAGTTTTGTAATGTTAAGTTCACTTACATTGTTGTGCAACTAATTTCCAGAAAACTTTTCATCTTGCAAAACTGAAACCTTGTACCCGTTAAACATCAACTCTCCATTTCCTCTCCCCCAGTTCCATTCTATGTTCTGTCTCTATGAATTTTGGCTACTCTAGATACCCCATTTAAATGGAATCATATGTATTTGTCTTTTTGTGACTGGCTTACTTCACTTAGCATAATGAACTCAAGATTCATCCATGTAGTAGTGCGTGTTAGAATTTTCTTTTTAATTAATTAATTAATTAATTAATTACTTATTCAGCCTTTTTAATTAAGGCTGAATAATATTCCAGTGTATGCGTATACCACAATTTGTAAATGGTCATTTGAGTTGCTTTTGCCTCTTGGCTTTTGTGAATAATGCTGTAATGCACACGGGTGTGCAAGTATCTCTTTGAGACCCTGCTTTCAGTTCTTTTGGGTATATACCCAGAAGTGGGAATTGCTGGATCATACAGTAATTCTGTTTTTAATTTCTTGAGGAACCACCATACTGTTTCCCATAGGGGCTGCACCATTTTGCATTCCCGTCAACAGTGCACAGGGGTTCCAGTTTCTCCACATCTTTGCCAACGCTTGTTATTTTCTGTTTTTGTTGTTGTTGTTGTTTGTTTGTTTTAATAGTAGCCATCCTAACCAGTGTGAGGCAATGTATCATTGTGATTAACCCTCTAGCACTTTGCACACTGAAGTCTCTATTCAGTGCAAACCAGGTAAAGGCACAGGAGGTGAGCAGAATTCCACAGGGCCTCCCAGGCAGATTACCTAGCCGCAACCCAGCCCTGCCTTCACCTGACTTCTTAAATGCGAGGAGGGGGCTATGTGGGTTATTCTCTGAGTCAGCGGATGGGAAACATCAAGGAACAAGAAGAGCACTGAATGGACCAGGGTACTGGGCTCAGGGGGTGGACTTGAAGAGTGAGTTGGCCTCTCTGAGCTAGAACTCTGCATCTGGAGTAGAAATAAAATGCCACCTTCCCTGAGCTAATTGAAAACCAGGAGAGGTAACATATGTGAAAATGCCTTAAAAGCTTCAAATCCTCAGTTGCAGGATAGCTTAGATTTTCCCCGAGGAGTGAAAATGCCTTAAAAGCTTCAAATCCTCAGTTGCTTCCCTGAGGGGTCACAGTTCAGCCTCTACCCCAGATGAAAGGTGAGTCTCACTTGTGTCAGTCCTATAACTAAAATCATTATCATCATTACTGTTTTTGAATAACTATGGACCAGCAATAAACTAGGCATATGCCGTATATTATCTCTAGTCTGCACACAGCCCTGCAATTGGTCATTATTATCCCCACTTTACTGATGAGAAAAAGGGGTTTTGATCAAGGTCGTATAGTTTGAAGTGGCTGAGCCAATTCAAACCCGGCTTAGCATCCAAAGTCCCTGCTTTTTCCCCTATACCACATGACATCCGAGCTCAACTCTGATTTCTGCCCTAATCGTGTTCAATCTACCACATTCCTATGGCAAGGGAATCCAGATGGTCTAGAGCTATATGCTATATCTTAACATACTAAAAAGCAATTGATGACCTCTTATAGCTGCCAAAGTTAGAGGGAAAACTCTCTATGTGCGACATCAGTGCCCCCAAAGAGTCAAACTTCTTTTGATGTAGAGCTTGGTTTCTTTCTTTTCTGCTTCCTTCAGGCCCCATCTGGTTGGACAATATCTACTGCACTGGCAAAGAGGCGACCCTTGCAGCCTGCTCCTCCAATGGCTGGGGTGTCACCGACTGCAAGCACACAGAAGACGTGGGTGTGGTGTGCAGTGACAAAAGGATTCCTGGGTTCAAATTCGACAATTCCTTGATCAACCACATAGAGGCAAGTCATGTGCTCTTGATGACCCCTTCATGTGACTGTTTGTTTCTTCCATTTAACTCACTGTTCGCCTACTGATTCCAAGAAGTGTTTGTGAGCCGAGCCCTAAGAATGGGGGCCCCAGCCAGCTTGATTTGGTGTGGAGGCTGTTGAGGGAAGATTTCTGAAGAAAGGGATGCCATCAGTTGGGAAAGGGCATTCCAGACACAGAGAACGGCTTGAGCAAAGGCACAGAGGCACGGAGGTGTGAAATGGGGATAAGCAGTTCAGTGCTGCTCACAACTAAAATGTGAATCTGGGAGTAGTGTGAACTGAAGCTAGAAAAGCTTTCTGTGCTAGGTTCAGGAGCTTGCGTCTTGGACTAGGAAAATGTATTAGTTATCAAATGCTGTGTAACAAATTACCCATCAGATTTTGCAGCTTCAAATAACAAACTTTTATTATCTCACACAGTTTCTGAGAGTCAGGAGAATCCAGGAGTGGCTTAGCTAGTTGATTCTGCTCAGAGTCTCTTATGAGGTTGCCGTCAGGCTGTCAACTGGGGCTGGGAGATGCTCTCCCAGGATGACTCACGTGGTCGTTGGCAGGTTTTAGTTTCTTTCTGGCTGTCAGCTGGTGCCCTCTGATCCTCTCCACACGATGTCTCTATAGACTGCTTGAGTGTCCTGAAGTCATGGCAGTTGTCTTTTTCTAGAGTGAGTGCTTCAAAAGAGAAAGAGAGAGAGGGAGAAAAACATGGAAGCCAGTCTTTCATAACCTAATCTCGGAAGTGATATCCCATCATTTCTGCTGTATTCTATTGTAGACTAACTGTGTACAGTGTGGGAGATCACCCAAGGGTGTCAATGCAGAGAAGGTGGACGGCCATCTCAGAGGCTGGCTACCACAGAACAGTTGTTCCCAAATCTAGCTGGGCATCAGAATCACTTCACAAATGCAGACACCGGGTGGGGTCTCACCTCAGCCTACCTAATCAGAGTCCCCTACGTGGGACCAGGTTATTTTTTTTAAGCTCTCTCAGAGAATTCTAACCCAAGCCAGCATTTGGGAATGACAAAAGGCTCCTGACCCTTCTTCTGCATTTATGGCTAAATTGCAGATTTCTTTTCAACAAGTTCTCCACTTAAACAATAAAATTAGCAAATATTTATTTCACTACTCTTATATGCAAGGAATGTGGGGCTTAGGGCTGGAGGGGTAGACAGCCAAGACTCCTTCCTCAAGGAACATGTTGGATGTCGCCCCCAAGGGACTGCGAGAGCTGCTATGAGTCCAGGTCAAGGAGCTTTCACTGTGCTTTAACCTCCAGCTGACCCCAGGACCAATGCTGAAGAAAGGTGATTCTTGAAATTGCCATATTTGGGCTCCAAAGGAAGTTCTACCCAGACTGTGGTCTTTACATATTTCCTTTCATGACTCATACTGTCCTGCTTTTTTCTCATATGTTCCTAGAGCATGGTGGGAATTTGTCCAAGCCTGCATTATAGCACAGAAAAAGATCTCCAGCCTTCTCTCAGCCGGCAGAATGAGACTACTTCTAGCTGACATTCTTTACATGCTGCTATTTTATTAGAAATAACTAGAAGAGATTGTTATAGAGTTGATGTGCTTTATTTGGTGTTCCAGTTACTCATGAAGACTTCGCTTTACCACGAAGTTTACGATGTGGTGGGTGGGCTTTTCACACTTTCCATCTCCACTCATACAGAATAATTAGCATCTTTCCAGTGAGACTGGAAGCTCTCAGCGGGCAGGAGCTCTATCTAACTCACCACTGTATTCAGTGGAAATAATGCTAGATACCTAATGGAAACTCTCAAATTTTCTTCTTCCCAGGAATGCAAACCCAAGGTCATTATCCCCTTAGGTGAACAATCTCCCAAGATAAAATATCAAACTAAACAGTGATGAGAAGTACAGAGAAGCAAATCATTTTTTTATAACATCGCCCTGCCTACTAGGACAACGAGCTTATTTATAACATCTTTAATGAGCCTCTGTTCAGCCTAGAACTTCAGGATAATCCACTTGGATAGTCAAGCAAATATCCGGGCTTCTGGGCATAAGAAAGTCATTCTTTTGAATCATGAAAAGGTGGGCCACAATGTCAGTGGGTTTCGCCACTAGGAAAAAATGATTCTGGAAAAAGACTTGTGCATATCACTTCAACAGAGAAGTTTTGTTGAATATCTCTGAGGGCGGTTCTAGCATTTGAAGGAGAAATAAGATGGGTCACATGAAAAAACAGAACCTTAATTGGACAGAATTAATAGAAGAAGGACCAAAAAACCTGTTGGAGAGTACATTTTTATTCTGGAAGGGCTGAGAGCCCATGATAGGAAAGCTTGGTACCTATCTTTATCCCAGACATTTGTCAGGTGTCTGCTGCACAC